TTAATCTGGAGGCTCTCCATGCCCACCCCTAGTCCCCCTGTCCCACCCCCAACCGCTTCCCCATGACCCTGCTCTGCCTCTGGCGATGCCAGCCTTGTTCTCATTCGTGAGATCTTCTGGGCCTTGAGTGTTACAGATTCTCCTTCTGGCCCAGGCTCCTCAGCAAACCCACCAGGGCGTTCGTGTCCGTCTGTCTTGTGCCCTCTGGGGCGATCGCCTCGCTTTCGCTCTGTTTTACAGTCGGCTTCCAGGTGCCTCTTGACTTCTCCACAGCCCGCTGCTCTGTTCGCTTTTCGGTTTTGACTTTTCCCACCTATATAATCTTCTCTTGCGAGGCCATTACTTGCCTACTTGTGGCATTTCTCCTGTGCACTCCTCCAGGGCTGAGTGAGCTACTCAGTCTTGCTTTTCTGTTTACCACCGCGTCTTAGAAGGGAACCGTTCCCACGGTCCTGTTCCCTCCTTCCCAGCCCCCACCCCCTACCGTTGACCATCAGCCTCACTTGACAGATGACGCTTCCGAGGCGCAGGGAAAGCTGGGTAACCGGGCGCAGGATTCCTACATCTCACTCTTCCCACCGGACCCCACTCCTCTCCTAGCGCTCAGGGACACTCCTGACCCATTTCTAACACTGCCCCTGCAGGCCCCCATCGCCGCAGCCTTGCCTGACATCAGAGGCAGCCACGGGCTGCACGGTGGCCGGGTACCCATCCATCTCCGAACAAACAGAGCATATCACTCTCCCTCTTGCGCTCTGTCTCCACCCGCTTGACTCCAATTCTGCGTCTGAATCCAGTTGGAAATTGGCTCTTCCTGCTCGTGAAATCCCCCACAGATTTGTTCTAGTTAATTTCATAAATCTTCCTTCCGACTGTCAGTCAGAGTCACCCACACTTATGGAAAACCTCGAGCGTCGGCTGAGGAGGGATCCGGCCCAAGGAAGGCAAGTAACCGATAAACACATTTGCAGAGCAACACGATGACAAGTGCAAAGGCAAACAGCGCCGAGCTGAGAACCAAAGCATCTGAGGGTGCGTCGAGGAAAGGAACGAATGAGCAATTTCGGCAGCGAGGCCGACTTCCTCGGGGTGGTAGGGGGGAGGGGGCTGAGCCTGGGGGACAGAGGGAGGGACGCCTGCAAAGGCGCCATGCGAGGTCACTGACAAGTCCAATGGCTTTTTCTCGGCTCCCATGCTCCTTGGTGTCTCTGAAGGATGAGTCGGCCCGAAGCAGCCCCCTCCCGCCCGGCCCCCGTGTCCTCCCACTGGCCTGGTTCTCCTGCCTCCGAACGTGGGCACTCCTGTGGGTCTGTCTGCTCCCAGTTAGTCTGTCCCGTTTACTCTCTTTCCCCTGTCACTTCTCTCTCCCACGCTTGGTCTCTATCTCCAACAACCCGTGGATGTTTCCACTAGAATGTTGGGCCTTCAGCCGATCTATCTGTCGACAGCCAGGCTTGCGTCGCACCCCCAGGTCCCAAGGAGTCTTGCTGACCTAACCCACTTGTTCCGCCCATGTCACCAGGTGCTCATGCCTCCCGGCTGTACCCAGGCTCCTGCAACTGCTGTCTCTATCTGCAATTGCCTCCGCTCTATCTCAAGCCCGCGTTGCCTTTGTCGTCCCTGAGGACAGCGCACTGGTTACCTCAGGCCTCAGCCCGGGCTCTGTGTCCCGCCCCGGGACGTGGGAGCCGGGACTCTGCTTACGGGGGTCTCCTCTGCCAGGGGCTTCCTGTCCGGCTCTGCCAGTGCATGTTCTAGAGAAAGACTGGCAGGTGGGGGAGGGCGGAGGGTCTTGCCCCTTTCCCACGTGCCTGCTGTCTAAGCAGTACGTTGGCAATGGCCTTTACTCCGGCAGTAGGTATTTACTTCTCTCCGGTTTATTACTGGACCAGCCTTTTTACTCCCGCTCGGAGACGCCAGCAGCGGGGGGACAGTGCCCTCTTCTCAGGTCTGCATCTCGGCTCCTCAGGGAGCTCTCTTCCTGAGCTTCCGACGACCTGTCTGCCTCCCTGCCTCCCTCAGCCTGGGGCGGGGGGACCCTTCCTGTAGTTGCTCTAGGTGCTGCCTTCCTGTCCCTTCATCCTTCCAGGACCTGTTTGACGGACATACCACAGGAAACGCTCACATCCCACTCGTTCCCCAGCTGTCCCTTACGCCACATCTAGGCTCCACGCCCCTGCGCCCTTGACCTTTGAGAAGCCCTCAGAGGGAACCTCCCTCCAGGTCTCCCTCTTGTCGTCACCCGTGAGGCTCACGGCTGGTAGCGTGAGACGTTTCCGAGCCACCTTCTGGCGAGGCGCTATTCTCATCCCCACTGCTACCAAGGGGCAGTAAACCCAAGTCCCCGCTCCAGCGCCATCCCTCACCAGCTGTGTGACCTTGGGTCAGCGATCTCTCCGGGCCTCGGTTGCCATTTCTATAAAAGGCGGACAATAAGCACCTATCTCGTAGAATCGTTAGGAGGACGTAATGAGCTTAATACGGGCAGTGCCTGACATGCTTCAAGTCATATTTAAGTGGTTTTTAGGTAAATACAACAGATAAATGTCAAGGGTTGTCCCCTCTCCTCATCTGAGCCAGAACAAGGAGCAGCTGTGCTCTGAGGGATTTCTCTGGTATCTGGGACACAACCGGCATTCTCTTTGTGTTTGCTTGATTGTAAAGTATTATGCACGTCTCAGCCCTTCCGTGAGTGTGGGGGCTGCCCTGGTTCACCCCCGTAGTCCCACTGTACCTTACACGATGATTCACACACAGGTGCTCAATAAATATCTGTTGAATGAATAAAAGCACTTGAACTGAATATCAGGTCCCTCACTGACTAGTTATAAGACAGGGAAAAAAAGACAGATAAACTCAATTTAAAGAGGAGGCCTGGGAGGGGAGAGGAAAAAAATAAAACCAGTGTGGGGGGGGGGTGGTGTATGTGGTGGGGCCATTGTAGAGAACGAGACTCTGGTGGGTGGTGGGGTAGGGGGGCCTGATTCGCTGTGCTGAGGTCTTTCGGGTCCTGGAAACTTCCAAGAGGAAATGCCCTCAAGGCCCTGAAAGGAGGCTGAAGTTGAGGACTAGACTGGAGTTCGAGAATCACTCAGGCAGTGGCTGAAATCAGGTGAAATCGTACCTGGGGGCTCGGTGTTAAGAGGGGCAAAGAGTCTAGCATTGAGGCTTGAGGACAGTGTAGCCGGAGGCTAAACACAAAGCCCTGGAAACCAGATCACCTGGGTCTGGAGGCCAGCTCTGCTGCATCCAGCTGTGTGACCCAGGGCAAGTGTCTTACCCTCTCTGGGCCTCAGATGCCCCGCCTGCAAATAGGATGCCAAATAATACCAGTCCCTCAGGGTTCTTGTGAGGACTCAGTGAGACACCTGTGTTGAGGGTTCGAGTACAGTGTTGGCACACAGAAGGTGCTCTGTAAGTTAGCCCCGCGGGATGGAAATGGAATTAAAAAAGAAATGAGAGAACAGTCAGAGAAGCCCATTTAAAAAAATACACAACTTCAGAAAATAAAAACCTCATCCGCAAGGAAACTGAGGCTTAGAGAAATGCTGTGCCCAAGATGACACAGCCCTTCAAAGGAACAGTCAGAATTACTTTTGTTACACAATACTGCCTCTCCTGGCACTCTGGAAACTACAGATCTCTCTTGAGAACCACCAATTTTTTTGCTCCAGTGTGATCTGAGTTACTACTGTCAGGCATCTTTCTGTGTCTTTTCAGATTAGAAAGGCCATTAAAAATATCATCAATTTCAGTCTGGAAGAGAGGAATCAAAAGGGGAATTTTTTTCCTCCTCTATACCATTTCTTTCATGGGCTGGTCGGGGAACCCTAGAGAGATCCCGGGGTTCAACGGTAACACAAGTGAAGAGTTTTGCAGCTGGGCAGGTTTGGGGGGGCTGAGATCCTGCCTAGGACTTTCCTTCACGAGGGGGTGACCCTGGGCAAGAGACTTGACCTCTCAGTGCCTCGGTAAGATCAAACAATACAGCACCGACCCCAGTGTGCTGCGGTGAGGAGATTGAATGAAGTGCATGTGTCCGGCATGCACTAAGGACTCAGTAAAGCACATCTGTGTTCAGGGGCCCCAGGTCAAAATCCTGGCAAATATTTTCCTGAATGTGCTGACATACAAAGGGAACAATACAAATAATACAAATGGGAATGCCACATTGGCATTCATTCCACAACTAGTTACTGAGTACCTCCTGGGTTCCAGATATTGTTCAGGATGCTTGGGACGCGGGAGTCAACCAAACAGAGATTCCTGCCTTTGGAGGATTCAACAGTTATAACCTCCTGAGTGCAGGGCAGCATGGGAAGTCTGGCTCTTAAAGGCAACACACATGGCCCTTTTGCAAACTCTGGTCGACTGTACATTACGGTTTCCCATCCCTGTTACCAGAGGGGATGCGATCAGGACAAAAAAAATCCCACAACTACTGACTACCAAAGTTACCGATGCCTAACACTGGGATACACCACATGGTTTGGATGAAGCATTTATGGCGTGCTTAGCCTGATTTTTTTTTTTTTTTTAACGAGTCTACTCCTCCTGAATATAGTTTAAACTGGTGAAGGTGGTCT